AGCATTTAGAGTGAGAGGAAGAAAGGATTCCTTCACGTCTCTGTTAATGACAGCAGCTGCAAAGCCGCGTGTTTGCTTCTGTAAGAAACCAGCCTTAAGAGGACTGTCTGCTGGAGTCATTCTCTTCTCTAGATTGGCTACAGTGACAGGCCAGGCCATAACAGTTTCACTAATCAGCAAGTCCGCTTAGCAGTGGACAAATTTATTAGCATCACCTGTATGCAATGCATTACCCCACATGTTGCAGAGAACATGGAGTAATCAATAACCAGGTCTGTGTCCTCAAGACACGTCTCCCTAGGTGGCTGGTTTCACTCCTGGACCAAGAAATAACAAAAGGCTACCTTACTTGGGTGCCAAGTGCCAGTGACAGAGAAGAGCTCTGTACCCAGAGAAGGGAAGCTGCCCTAGAGGGGCTGGGGGAGGAGGTGGTGGAGCTCCCTAGCCTTGGGATCTCTTCTTCCCCTCCTGGGGGCCCCCTGGTCTAAACCAGCCAGAATTCATTGTAGCTTAGCTCCATCTCATTCTTCAGCCAAAGGGTTTAGTTACTGGAAGCACCAGTGTGTCTTCCTAGTATTCTTAGGAACGTGTATGTAATTCTTTGTAAAGGGATTTTTTAAAATATAGTGAACCATACCTTAAGGTTAGGAAGAGTTTTTTTTTTTTATTTTAACTTGCCCCTGCCCTTAAAGAAGCCTTTGGTGAATCTTTGAAACAATGATTTTCATAATGGGAAGAATCAAACCTTGATTGATCTGGCTTGTAAATTTTGAGATTTTTGAATGTCAGTTTTCTTTAAGTGAGGTTTGGCCACATGGCATGGGTAGGATCATGTTGCTTATGAATAGATGCTGTACCACGGACCCCAGGGAGCTTCCAGCAGACGCTTCAGCTTTTAAGTACTAGCTTAATTGAGCGCCACTGGCTTAATTAGTAAGTATATTGAATATGATCGGTATGATGAATTTCCTTCTATTTTCTTCCCAAACTTCTGTCCATTGCAAACCATATCCTTTATTGATTTGGGAGCAGGTAGAGCTTTCAGAACAATGTGGAAGACATGAAACAAGTTGGAGAACTGACTAGAGGGATCATTGCTCATCTGATTTTCTCAACTTTGTATTTGAATTCTATTTTTTTTATAATTTCCTTTCATATCATCTCCCTCTGGTATATTTTGTTGTTTATAATGTGAAGCATATTAAAACTAATTGGATTTGAGCCTCAATAGTTTGGACTTCTTTAAAAGCCGGAAAGACCTAGGCTATTCAGGGGAAAAGGTTTGCTGTTGCATGAAATTGTAGGGACATGACATCACCCCTTTACAGTGATCCAGACACACATATAGCTTCTTTAGAAATGCAAGAGAATCAAACTTTTGAGCTGGATGGATCCTTGGAGAAAATATAATGCATGTTTTCTAGAGAGGGAAGTGAGATGTGTTAGCAGCAGAGTCCAGGAGCACATTTCAAGGAGGATGCTTGTTACAGAGACTCTGAGTCTGTGTATTAGAGTTTACCAGGACCCTGCCTGACAACACGCAGCATTTTTGCATGTTAAATATTACTAAAACAGCATTACTTTAAGAAATATCGAGTAAATCAAGATTTTCCTTATTCGAAATGGTTATTTTCCTGAGATTATGATGAGTTGTTGAAAATGGCCCAGCCATAGAGGTAATTAGTAGTTATAATTGATTAGAAAGGGCCTTAGGTGGAGAACTGACAGACGAACCCTGTGTGAGTCATAGAAAATAGAAGGTTGACATTAATAGCAAAATTGGAACCGAGAGAAACGTTCTCAAAGTCCAGAGAACAGTGAAATAGCTGCTGCTACTGAGTGGCCACTTACCAGTGAATAGAGAGCCCCCTGCCCGCAGCCGGCCCTGTACACACTCCCATTCCCCACAGCTGTAAACTGTGGAAGTTAAAAGAATAGACTTTTATTTCTCTTCCCCTTTCATTTTATTCTTACTGGTTAGTGGAGAAATGATCTTGGATAGAAAATCACATTACAACTTTGATAAGTCGCTTTTTGAAATAGAGTTGTTTCCATGCCACAGACATTTGGAGCAAAGTATGTTTATTGAAATTTTTTTTATAGAAAATATTACAGAACCTGTAATTGAAAACTTATGGCAGGATTTTGGGGAGTGATATGTTCTTAATGTTAATTTGTGGATTAGCTCTGAACTCCCTTCTGCTGTTTCAGAACCATTGGCTGAGTGAACGTTTTCCAAGAGTCTTTTCAGATCTAAACTGTGTTTCATGGAATGGAGTATTTAGTGCTTAAATAATGTATAAATCCAGTTGGACAGGAGCTGCCTGTCAGTTTTATTAACTTTGACCTTTTCTCCCATTATATAGATGGTTTGGTAAATATTTAATGGGCCCCTTACAGATCTTGACAGTCGGAGCTGTGTTCCTGGAAACGGAGAGACATATATATGATTAACAAATGTCGCTTAATCACTGTGAGTCAGCTTTCAAGGGCAGGTTTTGATTTCGGGGGAAGAAAAGTCCTTCCATTTCCATGTGCTCTTAGGGGTGCGTCATACATTGAGATCATCCAAGATGGTAGAAGTTTCAAAGGAACACTTTGAACACGCATTTCTGCTGTTTTTGGGTTTTTTTTGTTGTTGTTGTTGTTTGTTTGAACAGATGATCAAAATGATGCCAGGTGGGCAGAATCACCCTGCCACTCTGCACAGTTAGCGGAACTCTTCCACTCAGAGAGTCAGCAGGGCCAGAATGGCTGAGCTTGCATGGACCCTAGTAGGACACAAAGAAGGAGAGCCAAAGGGAGAGATGATTCCTTGAGCCATAGGGGACCCCTGCCAAGCTGTCTTTCCCTTTAATTCCATAAAGCCCCGTGCGTATTGCACTCATTGCAAATTCTGGTGGGGAAGATCGAAACCCAAGTCGCTGACATTTTGAAACATTGTCTTTCAAACTTGTACTGTCCCTTGCTTCCATTGATTTCCCATTTAAGAAATCTGTAGGAGAAAAACAAATTTGAGCAAAATTCATTGGTCTAAGATGAGTTGTTAGAGCCAAATTATGCCCCCCTTTTCCACCCCAAGAAGAGCTCTGTTTTTATTATAGATGTGATGTATCTTTGTCTCGTATTGTGCAGCCATAAGGCTCCCACAGCAAATCGACCAAGTAAATCAAGAGCCTGTTAAAAAGCAATATGGATGTTCCAAACACAGACATTTCAGTCTTACTGGGTCACTGGATATCTTCATTTTTATAGCCACTTTCAAGAAGCAGATCATTTCAATTGGTTTTGTTTTCTTTCACTCTCTATTTGTGTGCAGCCCAGTGGCTTTAGGTGAGGCCATTTATTTTTCAGAAAGTTATTACCCCTTGCATCCAGGGCCCGGCCCCTTTTATATGGTGGTCACCAGTTTCATTACCATGAGCTGTAATGTAGCTGACTCTGCAAAGGAAATCTATGCCTTGGAAGAGCATTTTGGAAAGAAATTGATTCAGAGCTTTAGAATGAATTACTATTTGTATATTCAGTTAATTCTAAATAAATGTTTGAAAGACTTTGCTTAATCTGAGATGGGAGGAAGAAACATATTGGATGTTATAAATGGTTTCAATCCAGAATCTTAGCTTGGCATTTTCACATTTGAATGTTTTATTGACATCTGTTCAAAATTGGGGTCCCTTTCAAGGATGATTTTATTATAGAGATTGATTACAGTGCTTATGATGTAAAATACAGAAGTATGGGATTTAAAAAGGAAGATAGAAATCATTGTCACATGTCAAATTGGATATAAGCTTCATTTGGCAATGACTGAGAATGATGGGTTATGTTTTGAACCAGAAGATCCCAGTGATCAGAATTGGGGGCAGGGGGAGAGGGACTGCACTGGGGCACAGGGGAACTTTCTGCAGTGAAGGAAAATTTCTATATCTTGATTGGGGTGGTAGTGTCACAGGTATATATTATCAAAACTCACCAAACTGTGCACCTTAAATGGGGGCATTTTATTTTATGTAAATTATAACTCAAAATGGATTTTTTTAAAGGCTTTTTTTGGTTTAGAATTAGGCAGTATTATCTCTCTTTTCTAATAGGGAAATTAAAGTCAAGAGAAGTAAAATGATCTGTCCTAAGTAACCTCGAAGCTCAGCAGTTTGTCCAGAACAAAGCAAAGGATGCTGGCTCTCAGCCCATTTAAAGTATGCTGCTTCCTTATCCTGGCTGAATTGTTCCAATGGTGTGTATGAAGTGAAATTAACTTCTCCATCCAGCTCTCCTCAGTGGGCCTGTATACATTGTTATAAGGTGTATTCATGCACTTATTCTTATGATTAATACTTGTATCTTAACCACTGGAAACACTGGCTCAGTGGTATGTTTGAATCTGTTTATGGTAAGCCGTCTTGTGCTCCTGGTTTACTGCAGTGGACTATGAGTTAATGTGTTTTTTATTATAAGCAAGGCATGACAGTGGCAAGAATTCCCAGAACTAATTTGTCTTTAAGGAAACCCACTGGATCCTCTTATTAAAAATGACGTAAGCTTTCAAACCATTTACATGAAGCATGTATGAATAGTAGTGAAAAATGAAAAAGAACGTGAAAAAGTACCGTCTACTACTTAGAAATACACTGTTATTAACGTTTTAGAGAACATGTTTTTTAAGTGTCTCTCTGTTTATATGTAACCTGTTTTTTTTTAATTCAACAAAATGATGTAAAATTCTTTACATATTTTAACCAAGTTCCCAGTTATTGTTGGACGTTTAGGTTGTCTCCGGTTCTTTCCATTTTGGAATGAACAACCTCATTCATGTTTTCCTATTTGTCTGATTATCTCCTTACGAATACATTCCTTGAAGCAAAATGTTAGCAGCTGTATTTGAAATTATTAAAAATGTTCTGAGCTGGTAAGATGTATCAGACACGGGCAGATTAACACTCCCTGTGCTGCTTTACCACACGCTCTTTCCTTCCCCTTTGCTTTGTTTCACTCTGCAGTTGCAGTACCACGCGGGGCTGGCGTCTGGCCTCTTGAACCAGCAGTCGTTGAAGCGGTCCGCCAACCAGATGGGAGTATCTGCTAAACGCAGACCAAAGGCTCAGCCCACGACCCTTGTCTTGCCACCTCAGTGAGTGATGGGGTTTGAAAAAACTACTTCTGTCCTGGATGAACTCTACTTTGTGCTTGTTTGCAAAATTGTTTCTTTCTTTTAAAAAGGTATCTGTTAAGATTAGAAACCAAACACGCAGGTAACCTGTTTCGCCTAGATCTTAAAAGAAGCAGTTACAGTGCGTCTCCGTAGTTTACACAGTTTATGTGTGACTTCAGGCTTTTAAGAAACCTCATAGCTTATTCTTTGTTTCCTTGTCACATTCCCGCAGTTGGCAGCGCGTACGTGCACTTGTCCTTATTTTACACATGAGACAGCCGAGGAGCACATTTTGATAAACTGCAGGCCTTCTGGAGAATCTGGTCGAGCTGGGATTAGAATCAGTGCTAGGCTCACTCATTCTTTTTTAAAATCGTGATATATGTGATCTTCTTTTTTCCCAATAGGAGAGAGAACAGACACTGTGAAGTGTATAGCCTCATGGCTTTTTCACATATGTGTACCTCCAGGTAGCTCCACCTGGGTCAAGTCATGTGGGTTGAATTAGGGGTCCTTCCTTCTGTGCCCAGCCTGTATGTGTGCCACCACCCTCCTTCAGTTTGACACTATTCTCACTTCTTGAACAATTAATTTTACCTGTTCTTGAACTTCATATAAATGGAGTCACACAATATGTAATCTTTCATATCTACTTTTTTCCATTCAGCATAATATCTGTTAGATTCATCCAGGTTGCTTGTTCTTTTTTGTTGCTGTGTAGTATTCCTTCCAATGTGCCACAGTTGATTCTCCCATTTACCTGTTGGGTGGTTCTTTACCAGAAGCCCCTGTGGAGGAGGGCCAGGACTCCCTCAGGGGTGTGGAATCAGAAATTGAACACATCGTCTTTGCTGGTGGCTTTTCCATCAGTGTGCACACTCCCCTGAAAGGGGCAGAACTCCTGAAAGGCTTGATTTGCACTTTAAACACATTCCCCAGCCCAGCCTTCTCTCCTGTTGTACCTTCTTTCATCCTTAGTTACAAACTACATCCTTAGTTACAAACTACATTTAGTTACAAACTACATCCTTAGTTACAAACTACATTTTAAAATTTCCTGTCCAAAGGAGTGTTTGCAGATGAGATTCGGTTGTTTGCCTTTATGCAAGATCTCATTTATTTTCTGTTTGGTTAGCAAATATTTATTATACCTGCTGTCTGGCAGGCACTGACCTAGGCTCTGGAGATACAATCATGAGGAAGACAGATGTGGTCCCATTTTCCTGAGGGTTTATTGTGGGGGAGATGAAAAACAGGAACCCCTAAAATTAATAAATTCATGATTTCTGGTTATGATTAGTACTTAGGAAGGGAACACTAGGGTGGTAAGGAGCGGGAGTACGGGAAACTGCTTAAAACAGGTGGTCAAGGAGGGCCTCTCCAAGGAGATGACCTTAAGTGGAGACGTGGAGAATGAGGAGGGACGTGGCCAGCGAGGAGCTGGGAGATGACAGGGGAGGACCCTGGGGAGCTTCTCTCTGGCCAGTGGGCACCCTTGGCCCACCATTTCTGTGATTTTCACGTTTTCTCCACGATTACCATTTGCTTCAGGTGAGGATGAACATAACCAACCAGCCTCCAACAAGTTATTTTTTGTCTGCTGCGTGCACAGGTGCCATATTTTTCAGAGACTGCAGGGACAGCTTCTCTGACTTACGCAAGATAGAGTTTTTCACTGTTTGGCAGGAAGTTTCTTAAGGAGCATTATTCTATCTGTTGCTTCTCATGTGTTGCTCTGGTGATTCTGCACATCTTAACTTTCAGTTCTCAAAGTCTGTTGGGCCTTATAACTTGTCATTTTCCCTGCATGGATTGTCTACTGAGACAAGACGTTTGGCGAGAAGTGAAAGACTTTCTAATAGTCCCACAAGACCGGAGCCGAAAGTGTTTGCTGCTGACTCTCTCTCGACAAAAGTCAGCTCTTAGTCCATCTGTTCGCCATTTGTTAATTTGCATTGGCTTGAAACCTGTTTACAGGTGACATGCTATTATGAGGACACTTAGAAACTATTTTAAGCACCAAGGCAATCAACAGACTCTGTTCTCATGCCAAAAAAAAAAAAAAAAGATGTTCACAGCTGTCATTATAAATTTATAATAAATCACTCAAAATACTTAGTTTCAAAGAGAAGAGTGGTTAGTGTGTCCTAAGAAGACAACGTTGAAATGATTTCCTATACTCAGTAGCCTCTTTCCTGTGAAAATTGACTGTTACCTTTTCACATCATTGAGTTTTTTGGACTCACATTATCCTGAAATCCCTTTATAGAACAACTATCCCGTGGCAGGATCTGTGTCTAAAGGACATCCAGGTCACTTTTATTGAGTGCCTGCTGTGTGCCACATACTGTGTTAGATGTCTGGAAGAGAGACACCAGTAAGGTGCAGTGCTGGCCTAATTGGATGATACCTTTTTTTAACCAAAAAATACAACACTGATTTTATATATATATATATATATAGTAATATATATATAAAGTAATAATTGCCACACTAGTTATCTATTGCTGCATAACAGGTTGCTCCCAAACTTAGTGGTTTAACAACAATGAACATAATCTCTCATATTGTCTGTGCACCAGGAATCTGCAGATAGCTTGGCCGAGGGGTTCTGGCTCAGAGCCTCTCACAACATTGCAGTCAGATGGCAGGCGAGGCTCCAGTCATCTGTAAGTTGGACTGGGGTCCAAGGGGGCTCACTCACAGCAGGCAAGCCGGTGCTGTGTGTTGAGGGGAGGCCTCAGTCCCTCCCCATTGTGGGCCTGTCCGCAGGGGGCTTGCGTGTCCTCTTGACTTGTGGGTGACTTCTTCCAGAGCGAGTGGCCTAGGAGGATAAGAACCGGGCCGAGCCTTGCTTTTTTATGACCTAGCCTCAGGAGATATGTCGTATCAGTTCCACCCCTTTCTGTTTGTTAGAAATGAGTCACTGAGTCTGTCTGATGTTCAAGGGGAGGGGATGAGGCTCTCCTTTTTGAAGGAAGGAGTGTTGGAATTTGCAGACATATTTTAAAACCACCACAGTTGTCAAAGAGGAGAGACATTGCACTGAGGGAAGAGTGGCTGAGCCCTTAAGCCCCACTCACTTATTTATTTAGCAAATATTTGCTCAGGGCCTACAAGTGGTTGGTTTTGTGCACTGTGCTGGGAATTTGGAGATGAATAAGATATAATTTTGGCTTTCAGGAAGCTCTGAGTAGAAATAGAGAAACAAACAAGTAGCAGGGGACCACAGTAAAGTGCACCAAGTCCTTAGGACACGACCCTAACATGCCTGAGAAGGCCTTGGGCAGGCTGCTGAGCGAGCCCCTTGGGGAGGCCCAGCCCAGCGTCGCCAGTTTCTCCACTGCCAGCTGTGAAGGATGGAGTCCTTTTGAGAGCTAGGTGCTTTCTTGCATAGGCTTCCAGGAGTCTAAGGAAAGGTTTTATTTCTGAAGGACCAGGCGCTGGGCTCCTCACTCGCCCTCCCCTGGAACTCTGAGCATCTGTTACTGCCGTGGTGGGTGGGTTTCCGCGTTGGCTTGTGTCAACAGTTGGGTGGCACCAAAGCTATTGCAGCAAAACCACCAGCTGTGCCCAAGTGCGCCAAGACCACAGGCGTGGCAAGGACACAGGAGGTTTGTACAGTGTGACACATGGGTGTGTTTGTTGTTTAAATGCACTTGGCTGTAATAGCAGTAGTCTTTGAAGATGCAGGCTCCCCGCTGAGTTCCCATAGGATTGGTGATTTGTGGGATTAATGATTCATATCTTTCTCCCCCTCCTGAGAAACTTGTAAGACAGAGATGTTGTTCATGATGAAAGATCTTTGATCACATGTTAGCATTCAAAGGGCACTGGTGATGCGACCTCACATCCATGATTCCCGAATGTTCATATTAAGTTAAGTCTTTTGCGGAAGGGCACTGTCATTTTCATAAAGGGGCTCTGTCCCCTGTTGCTGGGTAAACATTGTCGGCCTTTTGACCCTTGGAGGATTGGGATCAGCCTGGAAAATGGCTGTCTTATTTGATTGATCTGTAAGTTCCACACTGAGATAGCTCTGTATTTCATGTATGTCAGATGTGGCCCTGTTTACTGGTGCTCACTCAGGAGGCAGTCTCAGCTTCATGGTGCATTGTTTAGTGTACTTCTGTGGCAACATCAAATACCAGTTTTGATCAGTATGGCCAAGCTGACTGGCTTGTAACTTGTGGATTTCAGCAGCTCGGCCTGATGAAATGCTGGCTTTCAGTGGCAGCTAAAGTGGAAGACTCTTCTGTGTTTCTGTTCTGCACACATGGATCTCATTTAGGTTTGAGGGAAAAAAATATAAATTGCTTTACAGAAAGATTATTTTTTAAAATGTTACCACCACCCCACCTGAAGTTGTGAGGACAGACAGTTCCTTTGTATCATGTTATCTTTTGTAAAGAGGTCCTGCCTACTGAATGAAGGGCACGCTTCCCTTCACAGGCTACCTTCTCTAGTCCTGGCGGTGGGGGCCAGGGGGGCGGGGGGGTCATGCACTGTCCATGGTCCTAGCCAAGAACAGCCCTTCCGCATGTCCACTAGGTCCAGTCCTCTCTCCCCGTTGGTCTCCTTTTCTCTCCTCCCCCATCAGTACTCCCCTTCTCCTGGGTCATTCCAGGTAGAATGCAAACATGCTTACCCCAAAACCATTTCCTGGAAGGACACCCACCTCGTAATCCCACTTGTGCTTCTAGCTCCCACCTCCTCTCTCTTTACAGCAAAACTACTTGAATGAGTTGACTGTACTTGTCTCCAATATCTCAGTCACCCCAGGCGCAACTGTTCTGATTTCTATCCCTGTACCCCAGATTTGCCTCGTCTAGAACTCCACATAAACGAGTCATGGGGAACATAATATTTTCTTCCTGGTTACTTTTGCTTGACATGATGTTTTGGAGGTTCATTTACATTGTGTGCGTCAGTGGCTCGTTCCATTTTATGGCTGAGTGGTATTTCTTGATGTTCTTTGG